CAGAGAATTGATTTGCTTAAATGAATATTTGGTTCCTAATCCAGTATTAAATTACAAAGCTTGGAAGTGATGCAAATTTTTTTTATTTCATAACTGTAATATTAGCTTTTTAATTTGAATAATAATGCGAATGTACCTAGATTTCTGGCATTAACGAAAAATTAACTCCATAATTTCCCTTTTACCTTACACAGATGTCTGAAGAAAACCTTGAACATTAAGTCTTGAAATTCTCTGATAAATTTGCGGGACCTTTTCCCTTTAAAAATAATGACAAATCAGTTTGCAGATAAAACCGCCGAAAAAGCCGCCCAAAAATGTGGTAGAAAAATAATAATCTTAAAATTTACTTCGGCCAGCCGCCGGCTCAAGCTTAACTAATTGTAACAGATTTTTTCACAGTCACGTTGGAAAGGGAAAGGCCAGAAAAAGCGAAGGAAAAATATGGAAAAACCCTCTGGGGCGTAAACGTCTGCCTGGCATTATCCTGGCTGCGGCTGGCCAATTAGAACCCTTTGTTTGTCTTGGCCAAGACGCCGTGCACTTATCTCCATAATAAAGTCGTAACAATTAATTGAGCGACCCGAAAACGGGCCACCTTACCCAAAAGATTTCAGTCCTTCCAAGGAGCCTTTTTCGTTAGCCCTGAAAATTTTTCATCGTTTGACGCGTAATTAGTGCTTAAAAATTATTTGACGAGCGCCAATTAATTTAATGCTCGGCGACATGATTTCAAGTTTACCTTTTTAGAGGCACTTATCCACGGGGAGTTTTCTGGTTAAATGGACTTTAATTCTGTGTAAGGCGGGGTCAGAAGAAAAATTAAGAAAGTTTCATGTTTATAAGCTTTATCTTTAATGTTTTTTTCATATTATTTTGAGATACTTCTTATTATACTTCTATTTATACTTTTTATAGTTCTTCTTATTGTTAACAAATTAATGATTTTAGGAATAACTGATGCATCTTTTTTAGTAAGCAAAAATACGATATTATTACAAATCATCTACCATATATTGAAAATAAGAATTATCCTCTTGTCAATCATAGAGTATTATAATATTATATTTCCTCGTTGACTCCACAAGTCTATTAATGTCAACCACATAATCAAGGGGTATCAATAACAAAATAAATCTTTGGGAAACCCATCCTCCACCTTAAAACTCAACATTGGATGAGCCTTGAAATACTTTCGATTTTCCTATAACATACCTCGAACACTACTAGGAATATTATTTTCTCCCCTCATTTTTTCGCACTCGAGCCGAATTCGTTTTGAATGAATTCAACTGTAAAGGTTAAAATTATAAATGTGCAAATGACTCATCATAAATAAAATTAATAAAAGGCACCGCGAACCTGGCCCTGTCCTCCGCTTTTTTCTGACCCTGGCAGACTTTGAGACCTTCATTGAGAAAAAGTACAACGCATCAACATAAATATTATGATAAATGGTTTGTTATAATCGTAATCCTCGGGGGGTAAGTTTCGAGTCGTGCCGCACGCATTTTTTATGCTCTTCCGCCCTCCGCCCACGGAATCGTCCAGGAGCAGGATGAACTGCTTCAGTTCTCAATGGAGCAACATATGGTCGCGGGGTGGATGATGCAGATGGCGCTTCGAATGGATTGCCGCCTTTCAATAGCCGGGGCCAAGGAAGTCAAATTGTTTTTTATTGGTCTACCCCAAAGCTGCTCCTTTCAGCGAAAACACCTCATTCTCCTGGTGAAATCCGTTCGCATATCTCGCAGATACTTGGAGAGACGCGAACATGTTGCTCGACAATTACAAACTTTTCTTGCAGTTCATTACGCCTAATTAACACTTGATGCTGAAGCGGAAATTTTATTGCTCCCACTTTGTGTGAATGTAAACAGGCTAACAAAACAATTTCTGAGGAGAATCCCCATCTTTTACCATGCAACCCATCCTGCTAAGGACTTCAGCCGAAATACGCGCCACACATTAAAATTCAGGATGCGTTGCAAACAATTTGCGGCAAACAATTGGATGTTGTCGAGTGAAAAGAGGGAGGTACAATGAAGCAAAGTGTTATTTCAGCCAGGAAAAGGGATTTCAAAATGTGGCATTAAACGGGTTGGCTTAACAGACCTTATTTAATTGGGGATATTCAATTTGTTAGCAAAAGAACTTTTATTTTTTTTAAATTCAAATTAAAATACCATTGATTACATTTTTAAAGAATTTTCAAGTCATGACTAACAAAATATATATATTTACCTGATATAAAAGAAGAATCAATATTTAAACATAAAAATAATTAAGTAAATTTAAAGACTTTTAAGATCTTAAACGTTTAAAAATCCCATATACGATCTTTAGCTAAGCTATTACTCATCCCCATTCACAGATCCGCCGACCTGAGAATCATTTAGATCGGTTACCACTTGACAAGGAATTAATTTGACAACGTTAACAAATTAAACTGTTAAACCAACACAAACACACTAGCCCTGTTCGCACACTGAGATAAACAAATGGTCGACGGACGGACATTTACAACATCATTTGTAATCCATATCGCTCAGCATGTCGTCCCTTCGTTTTTCGACCCGGAGTATGTACATATATATGCAGTGTGCTTGGGAGTGGGTGAAAGATGTATTGACCCTTCAACGGCGCTTCGGAATGCTTCACGCTATTTATTGGCTCACTTTCACTCCGGGAAACCAGAGGCAACCAGAGACCCGGACCCGGAGAGAGATTTCTCCCCTCTGGGGAATTCCTTTGACGGTTCCATTTGCCACTCTGCACCGGCCACGTGTTGGGATTTGGCGGTTAAACACACTCTTACCCACGCTTTCCGGGGGATTAGTGCTGCTCATTTGTCAACAGGATGTGTGGTTGCTGAGTGTGGTCAATATTAATTGGCAATGTATTAGTTTAAGTCGGTGCACACCCTTCCACCAACATTTGCGGGATATCTTAATTCATCAATTTGGATTAAAAAATGAAGAAAGTTAACTTTTAACTTTTCTATTGCACCAATTATTTACGAAGATTTTATATTACAGAAACATGGCTTTGAATTTGGTTTCAATGGAACTCGAAAACTCTATAATTTCTAAAGTCAACATATTAATGGGTTATATTCCAGTGGTCTTTCACAAAACCGATACCACTATTAGGGAAATGTAAAACTTAGGGCCGGTTTCTCGAGTCCCTGTCAAAGTCCCTGATTGCTATCTGTTCGAAAAACTTAAATACCAGATAAACTGTTCGTAAAAGCAAATCCGCTTTCTCGACTACTTTAATTTATCTGAAGAGAAGCAATTACAGAGTGCTGTTAACGCACAGAATTGTGCTGTGAAGCGTAAAAAATGGCGTGCTTCGATTATTTCACCAGCTGTTTGGGTATAATTCAAAGGAAAAGTCAGCTGTGATTTCGTTTCTTCTTCATAGTTGGCTTTGGGAAATCAGCTGTCATTCTATCGAGCCGAAAACGCTTAACAGGGACTCCGAGTCCCTGTCAAAGTTAGCTCTCACATTGGTGCTCGAGAAAGCCAAAATGCCTTAGCAGGGACTCTATCTGTTCGAGAAATGTTAGCCGGCACTCGAGAAACCGGCCCTAAGAGTAACAGCATCTAGAGCGAGAGGTTTTGTGAGATGTATTTAGCTAACCCGAGGTCAAGGATTTTACATGTTTTATTATAATATTTACAATTTATTACAATAAATAAATAAAGACAGACACATGTATCTTATTATTTTCATATTATATTTATTCAAATTTGTAAATATTAAGAATTTATGAATAAACTCACTCAACAACTTTAATTTTTCCCTATAGAATTGAAGCTTTATAAACTTGTTTTGGCCATTGCTCGACTTGTTTCCGATTTAAATGATAAATTGAAACTCTCTTTTTCCACATTGCAGTATTTTCTTTCCTCCGATCCACTGAGTTTTATGTGTCCCCCGGCAAGGGAATGGGGCAATGGCGAATGGGAGGCAGTGGTTTAAAATGGTGCAGCAGCAGGCACGAAATTCGTATTTTCTGTGCTGCAACATCGCCAGAGGCCCAAAGGGTTGCAATTGCAACGTGCAACACGGCATTGCCTCGGCAACCGCTGCCCCTTCGATCGAAGGCAAAAAAAAGGGGGACAGGAAAAAATATTTTGACAAATGAACCCAAATAACAGGTTGCAATCGCTCTGAGGAAAGGGGCTCGGGTTTTGGGCAAGTCGGACAGGAAAACGTATGGTCGGACAACCTTGATACCTCATTTATTTTAAATGCGGCTGCCTCGATCCCTGGCCCAGCTGTAGTTTTCTTTACTTTTTGTATTTTTTACTCTCCTCGTCGCCTTTTCGTATTTCTTGCGCAAATGAAATCGACACATTCGACTCGAGTCGAAGCGAAGGGAAATAAATGAAACATTTCCAGCGTGGTCGCTCTGCTCTCGAAAATTGTTACAAATGATCGCAAATAACAGATCTTTGCCGGCACAGAGCGAGCTGTCCATCAAAGGAGCCGAACCCTCTCGGTGCGTGATCGAGTGCCAGAGGTAAGGGATCGGGATTGGAACTTGGGCTCGGGCGGTACGGACCTAGAGTTCTGGGCTCTGGCTTTCTGGACGGGAAGTGGCGAAGGCGCCGCCATGCTGCGCCTCATTTGATGCAAGGTAAATTGCATTGATTTCTTGATTAATGACAGTTTCGCATTTCACTGCCTGCACGGCGAGAAAAACGGATGAATTTTTGCGAGTAAGCCCATTGTATAAAATCTCCAAAGTATATACAAAATGTAATTTAATTCTAATTGAAAAAATAATATTAGTTTTTCCCACTTAATAGTGACAAACAAGATAGTTTTTTAAAAAGATCATGGTAATTCCTAAGATTTTGGTTGGCTATGAACATTTGTAATACCAGAACTTCAATAACGTTTGAAATGAAATATTATTTTGAGAACTACATTTATTTCGCAACGATCTTCGAATTAGTAACCTGGTATTTTCGTGTAGATGGACTCACCCTGATTGTTGTTGTTGGTGCTCTTGCGGGATGTCTTCTTCTCCTTCATCCAGGGATACTCCGGCACCGAGTCCATTCCATCCGGCGTTTGTGGGACAACGCCAACCGGATATCCGACTCCGACCCCTACATTGACATTAACGTTGACGCCCACTCCTCCGATGGCGCCGGATCCAACAGGTGTTCCGATTTTGGGACTCTCCGGACTCAGGTGGTTGAGGAACTCGGCCATCGAAGGCTGCGAATTGATGAATCCGCCCTCGGAGGCTGCCATCCAGTAGGCCGTGTCCGCGGTCCGTTTATCACAGTTCGGGGTCATCTTGTTGACCATCAGTACCGCCGGCACCGGTGGCGCCCCCTGCTGGCCGATACCGGGCTGACCGACTCCCACTCCCACACCACCCACGACGCCAGCACCACCGCAACCACCCACTGGCAGGGACGTCTGGCCAGTTTGCACCTGCAGCGGATTCAGAGGCGATTCCGATTTTATTTGCGTGCCCATCGGGGTCGAGTCCAGGGTGCTGCAGACCTCTTGCATGGCTTGGGTTTATCTTTTGTGGTTTTATTTACTCTCACTTCCAATTCCTGAGTTCCTTAAAAAATTCTCAGCTTGGGGACCTGCAAACAAAAAATATTTTTGGTATTCATAAAAAGTTTTGAATGAAATATATTTTTTAAAATTATAAAGCCAAGAAATGTAATACATTAATCTAGAAGATGTTAGGCTTATGCTATTCATTTATAATATTAATTTAATACGTTGTTTATAAAATTTCAGTTACATTTTATTGAAATAATTTAAGAGAGGCTATAAAATTGTTAACCAAATGTGTTTAAAAACTCAAAACAAGGTTAAAAAAAACCTTAAATGGATATATATAAATAATTGACAAATTTTAGTCTTTGAAATGTATTTTATTTGTCTGAAAATTAGAGTTAAACATACACAGAAAAAAATTTTAGTTTAGTAAAGTTAACTAATATAAGTGTAAAACAGTCCCCAACCACAAGAATTGTCAGTTCTACCAACTAAATATTTACTTTCACAACAACAAATACAAACAATTAGCTACGGCACACACCTAAACAAAAACAAAAGACACGTAACAATTTTGTATAGTTACGTAACTATCTGTTTAGGTCGATTTTACCAATCAAATTGTTTTGTGTGTAGGTGAAGTAAAATCATGTACCGCGCTTTACTTTTTAAAACGTTTCACCCCGGCATTTGCGCCTATAACTTTTGCTAGTTTTCCCTGTGTATACACAGTACTTCCAAGAAATAAAATAACACATTTTTTATAAAATTAGCCATTTCTTTAGAGTTATTTATTATATTTACCCAAATATTATTCAAAATGCCTCATTTAATCAATTTTTTCCAATTCTTATTTTCTGTTTTTATTTTGAAACTTGCCCATTTTCGAATTGCAATATTTTCCATATACACCGTTGTGGCTATACCCTTTCTTTAACATTATATTTCTATTTAACCGCGTTTTTAGCCTGAAACATCACTTTCTTTTCAACTTTTTGCTCTTTAAGCGTCGTTTTTATTAAATAACCATCATTTATTTCAACTAATAACATCTATTGTGTTACTAAAACTTGTATTCTGTGCTATATTGTAGTTGGTAGGCGTTTATTTACCCTAAAACCTAGAACTGATATAGAACTCTTATTTTCAGCTTTTTATGTTTTTAGGATATGCGTCAAAGAATTTTAAAAAGTCGATATCACAACTAAGTTAATGACCATGGTTATTCCTTAAGTTTTTTTACTCCTATTCAAAAGTATAATACCTTCACTTTTAAGGGGAAAAAGTTTTGTTTACTTATCTTCGCCTAATTTTAAACTTCTCACCGAAACTAGCATTTATTTTACAAGTGTTCTTAAAAGTACTTTTATATTAAATAAAGGTTTCAAGAAGTCAAAATAGGCTTTTGATTCTTTAACGCACAGTACACATTTATTAGTCTTTAAATTTGTAAATTCTTTTATTGAAAAAATATCGTACCATATTAAATAGATCATCTACTGATCACTGTATTCCATATTACTCTTTGAGTATTGTGTTGGCATATGCGTTCTTTGTCGAAATTTCTCCAATGTCACTTGGGGCACAGTTTTCACTATTGTCTGCACTTGTTCACAGTAGCTGTAGTGGCTCAGCTCTTTTTTATGTTTTGTTTTATTTTTTACCGGCACAACTTTCGCGATGCGGGTTTTTGCGTAGAACTTTAGTGTGTCAGGGCTTATCTGTGGGCCACAAAAAGAGGCGACAACCGCGACGACTACGAGGGAACCCAGATCCGAATATAAATATGGCCACCGTTGTGTTTGCTCAACCGTCAAGTGCTGTTTGGGGTTTGTTTTTCGCTTTTCAGGTCGACACACACCTTTTGGCAGCCATGGCGACGCGAAAAGGCCAACACAACCGACGAAACTACGGCGATAGCGACGATAATGCAAGTACGCGCTGTACTGCGGTGCGTATGCGTAATGTGTAGACTTTGTAGAGTTTATAGAGTCGCTGCGATCGTTGCAATGGCCTCACACAATCACATACACGCTCAGTAATTGCAATTCGTCTGAGATAGTTTTCTCCACTTCGCACTCATACACATGTGGGCACTAGCTGTCCCTTTCTGGCTTTCAAGAGGTGCGCAGAACCGGTTTTTCAGGGGTTCCTAAAGTGGTTCTTATCGGAATGCACAAATTTATTGTTAGAGTTGCTATTTCAGCTCTTTTGAATATTATTTTGGGGTTTTTTGTATATTTTTAAATGTTTTATTTATTAAATAATATTATTATTTAGCTACCGGACCGATTCAGAGCGAGAGCGAGACAGAGGGCTTCAGGGGAGCTTCGTGCGGTTCCCGAGAGCTGGAGAGCAGCCAACAACCATTCCATCCAATAGCACCGAACGCACTGAACTGGGATTTTGGGAGCACCATCAAGGAGTGGCCTAAGCGACAGCCACCGCATCCATCACGCTTTTTCCTGGTCGGCACATGCGCGGTGCCATCTGGAAACTGGTTACTATAGCCATTACCCGCAGTGCCCAGGGGGTGGAGTTCACGCACACCGGCGCACAAGTCTCCGGCCCTCTGATTGGCCGTTGCCTCACTTCAGTTTGTATCTTTGCGGTCGTGTAGCCCGGCTGCCCCTGCATCTTGGCCCGTCATTTCCGCAGCGTTTTCTTGCCTCACTCGCTTTTTTCCACTTCCAGCGCGAACGTGTTGCTTGTGACGGAATTTATTTGCTTTTTGTTACTTACACATTCCGCAGCAGCGGAAAAAAGGAAGGAAAAAAGCGAGTTTCTTCTCGCTCTCTGACTTTTTTTGGCTTTCGGGTATTTTTGACATTTCGCTTTGCTCATCGCTCTTTTTGTTTTGGGCGCCTCTTCTCTTGTCTAACCATCACGTTGTCAATCTAATCTTGGTGGCATTGCTTTTTGCCTTTCGGCCACTTTTTCGCTCTCTTTTTGCCCCATTCTCCGATTCCGTGCAGTCGGCGGCAAAGGTTCGTAATTATGTGCGGATTTTAATGCACACGAGTGTCACTACAGGTGTAAAAATATTGCCACATTTTCTACATTTTTTTAAATTATTTAATTTTTTTTTAATGTCAAGGAAATAAGTGTTATTCATAAAAATCTACAAATAACAGTTATTTTTTTTTAGTTTTATTATAAAAATCAAAAAAAAAATCATTACGGATTTGTAAACTACAACTGCTAACAAAAATAGTGGTGTATTTAAAAAAAATTTAGGACTCTTCTACGTGCACGATTTTTTTTGTAGGAAAAATGTACAATAACAGTTATTAATAGGGGAGTGTAGGGTAAGGTGACGAACGATTCGTTTTTTGAATGTAACTTTTGTAAAAATCAATATTTTTCAAAAGTGTAAACGCAGAAAGTTGCTTACATCTACTGAGCATATCCCTGTAAAATTCGAAATTCGAAATTCCAATGCAGCTAAATCCTACAGCGTTTGGCGTGAACCTTACTTTTTTTGCACTTTTAAAAGTTGTAGGGTAATAAGACGAACGATTTGTTCTTTAATGTAACTTCTCCAAAAATCAATATTTTTTAAAAGTGTAAAAGCAGAAAGTTGCTTACATTTACTGAGCATATTTCTAATAAAATTTGGATTCGAAATTTCAACGTAGCCAAATCCCACAGCGTTTGGTGTAAACCATCCTTTTTACAAACAAAAAAATACATTTTTATACCCTTGCAGAGGGTATTATGATTTCAGTCAGAAGTTTGCAACGCAGTGAAGGAGACGTTTCCGACCCCATAAAGTATATATATTCTTGATCAGCATCACTAGACGAGTCGATCTAGCCATGTCCGTCTGTCCGTCTGACCGTCTGTCCGTCTGTCCGTCTGTCTGTTTCTACGCAAACTAGTCTCTCAGTTTTTGAGCTATCGGGATGAAACTTTCCCAAAAGTCTTCTTTCTATTGCAGGTAGTATATATGTCGGAGCCGACCGGATCGGACAACTATATCTTATAGCTCCCATAGGAACAATCGGAAAAAAAAACTTTAAAAAATTCTAACTTCGGTGTTTTTTGAAATATTACCTTCTACTTTTGGGGATGTTATTTTTTTAATATTTCTGAATTTCGAATTAATTATTTAAAAAATCGGACTACTATATCATATAGCTGCCATAGGAACGATCGGAAAATTAATGGAAAAGTAATAGGAAATAAATTCTAGCTTCTTTGGTTTTTGTTGTATTATCTTCTACTCTAGAATATGACTCTTTTTAAATATTTTCGAATTTCAATTTTAATTTAATCAAAATCGGACGACTATATCATATAGCTGCCATAGGAACGATCGGAAAATTAATGGAAAAGTAATAGGAAATAAATTCTAGCTTCTTTGGTTTTTATTGTATTATCTTCTACTCTAGGATATGACTCTTTTTAAATATTTCCGAATTTCAATTTTAATTTAATCAAAATCGGACGACTATATCATATAGCTGCCATAGGAACGATCGGAAAATTAATGGAAAAGTAATAGGAAATAAATTCTAGCTTCTTTGGTTTTTATTGTATTATCTTCTACTCTAGGATATGACCTTTTTTAAATATTTCCGAATTTCAATTTTAATTTAATCAAAATCGGACGACTATATCATATAGCTGCCATAGGAACGATCGGAAAATTAATGGAAAAGTAATAGGAAATAAATTCTAGCTTCTTTGGTTTTTATTGTATTATCTTCTACTCTAGGATATGACTCTTTTTAAATATTTCCGAATTTCAATTTTAATTTAATCAAAATCGGACGACTATATCATATAGCTGCCATAGGAACGATCGGAAAATTAATGGAAAAGTAATAGGAAATAAATTCTAGCTTCTTTGGTTTTTATTGTATTATCTTCTACTCTAGGATATGACTCTTTTTAAATATTTCCGAATTTCAATTTTAATTTAATCAAAATCGGACGACTATATCATATAGCTGCCATAGGAACGATCGGAAAATTAATGGAAAAGTAATAGGAAATAAATTCTAGCTTCTTTGGTTTTTATTGTATTATCTTCTACTCTAGGATATGACTCTTTTTAAATAATTCCGAATTTCAATTTTAATTTGATCAAAATCGGACGACTATATCATATAGCTGTCATAGGAACCATCGGAAAATTAATGATAAATATTAGAAAATTGAACATTTTTGCGATTTGTTAATTAATAGGAATGATCTGCAAGGGTATACAAGCTTCGGCTGGCCGAAGCTAGCTTCCTTTCTTGTTTTATATATTATTTACGGAAAGGTTATTTTCGATACGGAAAAGAAAAAAGTAATAAGATAATACCCAAACTTACAAAAAAAAAAATGGTCAAAGTGCAAATTTTTTTTTAAATTAAATTAAACTGACGTCACTATTAAAAACAACAATAAAACTGCAGCAGTAAATGTTATCTGGTATTATTATCTTTTTTTTACAAACAATCAACGATAACAGTTAAAATTCTTGAATAAAAAAAGTTCGTCAAAATACCCTACAAAAAGTTCGTCACGATACCCTACAAGGTAGACTTGGAGCAAAAACGGTGTCACTCTCAAACGGCGCAAAAGAAAAAAACGCGAGGTACCAAAAACTGTTGATAAAGATCTCATGTATACGTGCATATATTTGCCTGATTTTATTTTCCACTCATCTTTGCTCTGGCACTGCTGAAACACAAGTAAATTGAATGGGTTTGCTAGTTTGCGCACCACATTTTTAGCGAAAATTACCTCACGAACAAATTACGGGACTTCTTATTAATATTACTGTAAATACATTGTCGACACGATAAGGGGAGACGACTACATTTATTTGGAATTTTTGTCGTGCCGTCATATATGAGATTCGACGAGTTCGTCACATTACCCTACTCGTCAAATTACCCTACACTCCCCTACCCAAGATATAACATTAATTTAGTGAAATGGTTGCCCAAGTTATAATTGACGTGCTATAAGCAATTAAGTTATAGGTATGCAAGGTAAAATGTTTTATGGGTAGGCCTAGCATTTTAAATTGTTTTTATAGAAAGACGCCATGAAACAATTGGAAGAACATAAGTAAACTCCTCAATTTTTTACTAAATGTATTTTATTTTCCCATAAAAAGTGTTTATTAAATAGTGTAAGGGTATAGTGACTTCGATGTAATAGTATAATACAATTCAATAATATTACTATTGGTTTATGTACAGTATCATTAAGGAATTTTCAATGGTGTTTTCAAAAGTCTAATAAATTCTGTATAAAGTCGAAGTCCACATCCAGAATATCTTCCGATGATGTGGATCCTGCAGCAGAACTATTCGAGTCCCAGTAACTATTTGAATTTGGGTCTATAACGTTTCCTGTGGGTGGAATGGTTGCTTCAAGACCCAACCAATTACTCGCCCAGTTGGAATCGAGTTCATTGAAAGGTAGTTGGGGAAGATCCATTGGAGCAGGGCAGAACTCATGGAGGTAATCGTAGGCCTGATAGGGTGGCGTGATTTGACCCTCTTCCAAGATGAATGCAGTGTTCTGCTGCATTGGAATTGTTTCCACATTTGTGTTGGTATATTGAAGAAGGCGCTTAACGATCTCATCGTCCTTTAAGAGATCCTCTTTTGATTGAAAAGTGTCAGAATTAGACGTGGCCAGAGGTTCCTGAACGGCCTTCTTATTGACCAACTTTTTGAGCTTCATGCGACGATTTTGAAACCAGATCTTAACCTGTCTTTCACTGAGGCCCAAACGTTGAGAAATCTCAATACGCCTCGTCCGGGCTAAATATTTATTTAGGTGAAACTCTCTTTCAAGTTCAATAAGCTGATGACTGGTAAATGCAGTGCGGGATCTCTTCGACTTCTCCAACGACTTTGTTCCAGCTGAGGGAGCCGGGTCCACGTTTAAGTCGAGACAAGGGTACATCTGAAAAATTCAGGAAATTAGTTATTTTCACTTAGAATACATTGTAATATTTTTTAACCCACCTCGAAGTCGCTGACTGAACCGTTGTCCACAAAATAGTTTTCGGTTTCAATTACAAACATTTTTCTGGATAGCGATTTATCGTTTGCTTCTGTTCGCTTTGAGCTGCGTTTTTTAACTAGATGCTCAAGAAGAAGGCTCATTTGCTTATATACCACAGAAACCTTAGGTAACCGATCGGATTGGTTCCTACCTGTCCCGCCTGCAACAGTTCTCGGTTGGCAGACGGCTGGTCTGGTCTGCTAGATGTCGCGTCTTTTTAAGCCTGACTCCGAATCAAGGTAAAATCCAGGCTCCAGAGAACGAGACACTTTTCTGAGTGGCGTCGCACTGCGGCGTGAGTGCCGTTCCTTCAGCCTTATATAAAATGTAGTCTAGAGGTAAATATTGCAGGGATCCTTAAAACTACTGCAAAAAGCAAATTAAAAAAAATCCGTTGAAAAGTATTCATTTTTCTCTATTCAAAGTGTTAAGAAATGTCCTGAATCTCTTTTTTCCATAGTATTTAAATTCTGTTATAATTTTACATTTAAGAAATTAAATCCTTATTGTGAGTCTATTCATTTTATTGACTATCCCCAGTTGAACATAAAAACTTTCATTTAAAATCAGTAAAATTTAATCAGGAATTACATTTCAGGTCTGTAACCATACCTATATTTAAGGGCAGCGTAGACCCCAATCCCCGACCAGGTAGTTATCGGCCATGAACGGGAAAGATTTTGGTTTTCCCCCGGGTTTTCCACATCAGTTATGAATATCTAAGGGTTGAGCTACCTGCTTACCGAAGGAAGAGCGAACCGATCCGATCCGAGCCTGATCCTCGATCATAAATAGAGTGTCACTTCAAGCTAATCCAATCACCCGCTATAAAATCCGCTACATCCCCCGTGCTACGTGCTATATAGCACAGATTTACAATCGGACAGGCTTATTTAAACAAAACCAGATTTTCTTTGGGAGGGCAAAGCATAGGTTCAGCTAAAACCAAATCTCTTAGACGAAATTGCGGCCTCGGAGTAAGATTACGATTATCCAAAGAAAAGGTTTTGTTAGATTTAATTTACTTAAATTTTGTAAAATTGTAGATGTAACCATGCGCGGATCCACGGGGGTGAAAGAAATTTTGGTATTCAAAAAGTATGCAAGAATAAAATTACTCTGATATCACCCCCCACAAAAAAATCCTGGATCCGCCACTGATAGTAACACAATATTTTTGCAAAACCAACTAAATAATAAGTAAATGCGACATGTCTTGAACGCACTGCAAAGCACTGATAATTTATTATCCAATCTAATTAATTTATTACAGCTTTGTTATAATTTTGAAATAAATATGTTGAAAAGACGGTGATAAAAACATTAAGGAATGCATTTTAAAGCAGGGATCGCAAGTAAGAATTACTTTTTTAAAAAAATTGACAAATAAGTCTTATTTTTCAATTTTTATTATAAAAGTTGACAAATAACTCTTATGCTTCAATTTTTATTATAAAAATCAACAAATATTTGTCAACTTTTATAATAAAAATTGAATTGAAATAACTCTTGAACTGTGGGGTACATTGGTTTAAAATTTATATATGTATAATCTACGCTTTAATACCTTTCTGTTGATATGCCATATGTCCCCAAAATATTTTTGATGATGTAAAAAATATTATTATTATAAAAAATATGTTGGGGACATATTGCATATCAACAGAAAGGTATTAAAGCGTAGATTATACATATATAAATTTTAAACCAATGTACCCCACAGTTCAAGAGTTATTTCAATTCAATCTTTATTTTATTATAAAAGTTGACAAATAACTCTTATGCTTCAATTTTTATTATAAAAATCAACAAAATTGAAGCATAAGAGTTATTTGTCAACTTTTATAATAAAAATTGAAAAATAAGACTTATTTGTCAATTTTTTTAAAAAAGTAATTCTTACGTGCGATCCCTGTTTTAAAGCAATGAAATATAATAAAATGAGCCCTTTTCCTTTTAATTTAAACCATTTTTATGCATGGTTAAAATATGAAGAAAGCATCCAAGCCATTTGGCCGAACAATTTTGTGGTCACAACGGCAGGCGCCTCATTCTCCTTAGTGAGCTCAGATAAATTGGTGTCATCACATCATAAAGTGATTTCCAGCATATTGAAATTTTCTGCAGCTTTTCCATCTCGGCCAGCGTGTTGTGTCACATGGAAAGGAGATGAGGACACTGGGATCATATTAGATTTGCCATGTTTTGTGAACAATATTTCATCGTCAGCTGTCACAGAGTCGTGTCTTTTTATTAGTTATTTGATTATGCCAATAATAGAAACTTGTAGAATTTCATTATCGATAAAGTTTTGCTACCGCAGGAGTATGTGGATAAATTGCATAAACAAATTGGGTAACAAATGAATAAAGTTGTAGACGTTCAATGAATATATAAGCACGGCCTTTAATAATTATTATACACAAATAAATATATATATTTTCGTATGCGTTGCCTTGGCCATAATAGACAATTATTTCGATCTTATCCCGATCAACTCTCGCTTAATGTATTTCTAATTGAAATATTTTCACTCTGTTGGTTGACATAAATCGAAGATAAGGGGCTGTAAAAACATTCCGTGAATTGCGGAAAACAATTGATTGATGCGCTATGTATTTAGGTATATTTAGTACTTTCCGTAGTTCAGATGCAATAAAACGGAGACATTACTGTCAGATAATTGCGTTAAATGGAAAGGATTAATGAGTGATAAGAATTTTGTGCCTACTCAGTGGGGCGATTCATTTGGAGCTCCCCTTCTTCCCACTCTGCCCTTCAACCACCCACATACACCCAAGAACAAGATGCAACTACCGCAACAACCGTGACAAGTACAACATTTGTGTCGCCTGCCTCGGCTTCAATCTGTCGCCCTCCGCCTGTGCCACGCAACCTTTGACACGCATAAATGGAACAGTCAACCCCCGGTTCATGCTCCACCCCTGATATCCCCCTGCTTCCGGACATGCACTGAAAAGGTTTTATTTAACTTAAAAAATCTTTATTTCTTTTCTGTTTGTAATTAATTTTTTGAGTGTTTATTATAGAATAAGTACTTGTTAGGCATTGCAAAGAAATAAAAATTGATTTTAACATTTTCTATTATTTTCCATCATTAGTTATTTAGCATACCTGACTAGTACGGAATACTTTATATTATATTTCATCCATAGTTATTTACAAAACCTTACAAGTACCTATGTCAAAAATTCATTAATTAAACTGGAAAGATTATATATATTAATATAATCCTCAATTTATTTATTTAATATTTAAATAACCTTAACCTTGATATTTTATTACAGTGTTTACTTATAATGTAAGTCTAAAATGCCTAAATTATCACTAGTTCCCTAAAAGCACTAAACAAAATAATTCCACTGCTTGGTAATCAATAATATTTTATTACTTAAAAAACTTTTAAATGTAAGATTCTGAATAATGGGGAAAAAAAGTTATAAAATGTTGTATTAAATTCTAAATATATTTATCAATTTATATTTTTGATGTATCTGAAGGTGAAATTTAACTTATCTTATAAATATACTTTTATTTTAAAAAACAATCTCTTAAAATAATTTTTTGTTGAGTGTTTAGACATGCCAATGCTGAGTGTCAGCTCCTCGCAGTACGGTCTCCGGACGGCTGTCCTGGCCCAAAACCCGGACCCGGCACAAACAAAGATCGCAATTTGACTCTACACCACGGAGCTGTCAGCTGGCAGAGAGTGAAGGAAGATTGATTACCGCCATCGAATTGTTTGCCTTTATCCAGGGTGGTTGCAGCGGCGGATGGGGAAGCAGAGGATGTGCCCTGTGTGCCTGACTTCGATTGAATGGCATCGGAATGGAATCGAAAGAGTTGAGCTACCAAACACGATACTCCTGCTGTCATATGTAAACAACACTTGAAGTCTTTGCGGGGATAGGGTTGCGTTTTAAAACGCAGACGAGGGTGCTCTTGATTAAAGCTTAACATAAGCTGTATAATCAGGTTGGCATAAAAATGTTGGATCAAGCGTGGACTTTAAAAAATATATGAACCTAAGCTAAAGTAGATGAAGCGCAATGCTTTTTTAATCCAAACTGGTTTGAAATCATTCCCAAAACCCCGAAATATTAATCATCGATCTCCAAATTTTATTTTAACTTTTCCAGGAAATCATCAATGAACTCCATCTGCTTCGAATTGAATTTGCGGGCATATTTTACACAGTTCTCAAAATTGGACTCATCGTTGAGTCCTTTGTAGGCCATGGCGCGATACATCCACGCCCTCAGATTCTTCTCATCCAACTTGTTCAGAACGAAGTCACAATCGACAATGCCTCGTTTGAATTTACCCGATCTGCGGAGACAGAAGAGGATCCATCAGTTATGAAATATCCAAAGAATTCTCTATCCCATTTGCTTACTTGATAAAGCAGAGAGCGCGATTTATGTAGAGAATGTGACTGTCCCGGATATTTTCAATGGCTTCGGTGTACATATGCATAGCAGTCTCATAGTTACCCTTTCGATACTCAGCGTTTCCTAATCTTAGAATGAAATTACGTAGATAAAGGAACTTACAATGCATGAAAGCACTTACTTTCGAAAGTTTTGGGCCACTCGTTCTCTTTCTAATCGAGCTTTAGACCGTTGATCAAGATCCATCTCGACCTGTCGCATAAAGGGAAATCGATCCTTAGTCCGATCCAGACGGTTGAAAGTTCTAGGCTTTGATTTTTCTTTGAATGCAGTATCTTTAGGTGCAGAAATATCCGGAGGAACATTTTTCCGGCCAATGATTATAAAATTGTCCTCTGTTACAATAGTCGTCTTAGTATCGTTCTGAACTTTATCGTGTCCCTCTTCCTCGTCCCTAGAAACAGATAATTATGAATAATTTTATTGGGATATGTTTTGCTTCTTACTCATTCGGCACTTGAAGGCTTTCAAGCAACCTGACCACTTCTTCAACTGTTGATTCGGAATCTAAAAAGCGCTCATCGATTTGCGGGTGTTGCAAGGAATACATGTTCCCAAATATTAAATAATGACCGACGGATTCAAATAAATATTTGTTTTTGATTTGACCGTTGTGGAGTTTTGTTTATTCTGAATGTTTACCAGCTGGGCAAACGAATCGCGTGGCAACATGGGGTTGGATTATTTATTGCCCATAACCAACTGGTTGCCTAGCAATACTGCCAAAAAGTGTTTACAGGCCTTGGAAGGACTATCGATAAGATCGGGTTCGAACTGGTTTTTAATTCTAGGATATATTGTAAATGTATTATTATATAAGTGGATAAATAAAAAAAATTAAATTTATTTTTGGACCTTAATTGAGTTAATTTGATTCCATATATAATGCCACAATTTTCTGCACAATCCGTGTTTTTTTAATTTAATATTTATTTCTGTGCTAAACGAGTTTGATTTTTCATGATTTTGCCAGTCATTTGCGTTGAATCGTTTACATGATTACACGTAGTGAAACACATACCGGCATACCCTGTTACTAGCACTCTGGCTGATAGTCATATTCATACTCACGCTCACATTACTTTTCATTTAATCTCATACAATTTGTAAGATAAAGAAATGCACAAATGCATGTTCAGCTCAGCTTGGCTCAAAGGATCAATTATAGACTATAAAACATAATGGCATCTAATAATAGTAGAGCCGCAATCTCAACACAACTGAACCTAGCCCCTCAATCCTCCCCCCGCTGCACAAAAAGTTCAACACTCAGCAAAATTTACATAAAGTTAATAAATTTTTTAATTATTAAAAATAACTATAGTTAACTTTTAACTGAGTTTTTTAACAATTTTAAAAACTAAATAAATTAATACAATCCACACATTTTTTATAGATCGTGTTATGAAGTAAAATTATAGATATTTGTTTCTACTAGATGGCTTTAAGTTGCTTAGTTGATTTATTGAAATATTATTTACTATTGAGAAAATGAATTAATTACGGTTGTTAAGCAATGACAAACAGTAATTCTAATTTATTCTTGCTGAAATTAAAACAATGAGAAATAATATTTCTACAGTTTTAATTATATACCTACATTTTTATTTAATACTAACAATGTAATTATTAATAATAATTACACGTGAATTTTGCCATTTTGAATAATTTTTGTGAGTGCATCCCTGCTCTCTCACTCGCTCCTTCGGATCACAGGGAAGTGCATGTCGCTGGCACATTACCTGCAATGGTGCATTGAGGGGCGGGGTGGAAAAAGGATCCTGGCGAGTGAGAGCTGGGTGGCGGATATGTGTCTGTGTCGTGTGGGCCAGGCATTTAGGAGCCGGCTCACACACACTTCTACATTGCACATTCACTCGCAACCGGACATGGACATGCTTAAGCGCCGGGCTCTCTCTTGGCCACGTTAGCAGGGAAAGGGGCGGAAACACAATGCACGGGGATAAATAATTGCAGTGCGGCAAAGGAGCCTGAACTGGTTGTAGCACCATTTCGCTGCTGCCAGCAAACCAGCAAACCGGCAAATGGACAAACGACAACGACACCAAATTGCTCACATGACGCACCGCATTTTTTATTCCGCACGAATTTCGTTGTTGGTTAGCAAAAGTTGGTAACGCTCCTTGCGGCAACCACTCGCCGCCTGGCGGCATCATCAGCATAGATTGCCATTTCGACGTAATTGTTATAAATGAATTTCACGTAATTTAATTATGGGTTTTAGACCGATGAAAAATATACCGGCCAACGGGCCATAAATATGGCCCAACCCTACAGATGGGAGGTCATATGCTGCGTATGCGTATCAGCTGTTGGAGAGGGTTGAGGAAATGCCCGAATTATCCATGAAATGATTACAGTTCAAGGGGAATGGGAATTTTGAAATCCACCTGAAATACGAATGGTTGAGATGGGTATTGCAATCGAAGACGTCTGATTGTTTAGAAACCCATCTGTCACACTAGCCAATCGACTTTATTTAACTTAATTTAATTTATTAAATCCCTTGAAAATGTTGCGTGTAAATGTCCAATTTATAACCTAGCGACATGCGCCAATACTAAGATTAATTACTCATTAACAATTCGTAAGTATTATTTGACATTTTATAACTTAAGAGAGATGACACATACATATAGATGTAATTTAAGGGTTTTTATACCCTTGCAGAGGGTATTAAAATTTCAGTCAGATGTTTGCAACGCAGTGAAGGAGACGTTTCCGTCCACATAAAGTATATATATATTCTTGATCAGCATCAATAGCCGAGTCCATCTAGCCATGTCTGTCTGTCCGTCTGTCAGTCTGTCCGTCTGTCAGTCTGTCCGTCTGTCCGTTTCTATGCGAACTAGTCCCTCAGTTTTAAAGCTATCGCGATGAAACATTTCCAAAAGTCTTCTTTCTATTGCAGGTAGTACATATGTCGGAACGAGCCGGATCGGATCACTATATCTTAAGGCTCCCATAGGAATAATCAAAAAAATAATAGAAAAACTATTGTAACTTAGTAGAATGTAGGCGTTTTGATTTTTGACAATGTAAAAACAACATTTTAAGTAGGCAAACTTGCAAGGGTATATAAACTTCGGCTGGCCGAAGTTAACTTCCTTCCTTGTTTACATTACATTAAAGGATTAATGGTTTTAAGATCAGCAAATAATGATCCAAGTTCTCATGGCTAAGTGGATAGTTGGACAAATACTTGATCAGGTGTCTCAACTGGGTATTAAATGTCCATGCAAAATTAAACATAGAATCCTCTATAAGGTTAAAATAAATTCCGCAACAGATGCTTGCAACAACATCACGGCTCACGACCCAAGTGACTCTAGTCCGGGCTGGCACAATAAAATTTCAATTGAAAGCCCGAGAATTCCACTTTGGGACCCGGATGCTCCACTACCCTCGACCCATCCCTTAGCAATTGGCTTTCAAATTTTGAAGTGATTTTTTTCACGCATTCACATTCTTTGTGGAATACGAAATAAGAAGAGTTTCCTGTGCCTGCTGTTCACTATATATGCATATTTTTTGTGGGCCAAAACAGTACAGCCCCAGCATATGTGGAATGGACGGAAAGTTTTTCTGGCCCAGCACGATTTGTTTATACGACAGGTGTTGGCCATATCGGTGGCGTTGAGGGACTAACACGTCTGTGAAATGTCATAACGTTTAAACGTGCCAAAAATATCCAAATTGAGCCCAAAACAGTTGGGCGGAAAAATGCTTAAAAAGAAAGGATGAGTGAAATACAGTCAAAAAGGCTTTTTTGGAAGAGAGTTTTCCATTTTTAAATGGTGGTGAACTTACACCAGCTAACCAAAAGGGCAGAAAAGGGTCAACCGAGCTTAAAAACGAAATTCAAAAACATAAGTATACAATTTCAACTCATTTGCATATTTCTATATCTTTTGTACCTATAAGACATTATTGCGATATACAAAAACTTTGTAATAATGATTTTGTTGCTCAACAATTTTAAAATATTCAAAAACTATCCTTTATTTAAGAGCAAGTATCCACTTTTTTCTTTCACCGTTTCCCAAATATCCCGCTTAATTAACTTTCACAGATTCCCGCCAAAAACTAAACAGATTTCTCAGCGAAGCCATTTCATTTGCACACAAAATACATTTTGCTCGGCTGTCGCAGGGATACCAAGCACTTGGCTTCCGAGTCCTGGCCGCGAATTCAAAATTCATTGCCAAAGGAGTGGGGCGAGCTTCGGTTTGAAACCAAAAGCTTCCAAAAGGCGATTAGCCATAAAAATTATAGATTCAATCTAATTACAAAACGCTGCGGTTGGGCATTGTGGAGTGGGCGTGCGACTCCCAAGTGAATATTTAATTTAATTAACAAGAAACAATTTGAAATGTCTTCGCCCAGCCTCCGCTGCGGCTGCGGAATTTATTGTTATGACCAGGCCAAGACTGCGGCGTTGTCATTGTCATCAAGGCTCCTGCCTCCAACTCCTGGCTCTATTCCGGCTAATAAAACCGCAATGTTGCCACTGGGCGAATGATTGAGCTTGGGAATCGCTAACTGGCTAACTGGAACAATGCGAACAATCTGTGCGCTGTTGGACATGTTTATTACATTGGCATTTCGCGTAATTGAAGCTGGCCCGCGGAGAGTTGTTTACTTGTTCCTGCTGTTTGCTTTTTATGCGACTTTGATTAGCTGCCTCTGATTGCCGGGCGATTAGCCACGCCCACGCTCCTCGAATCCGGCATCTATATTCATTATGGCAGCCCCGAAACATGTGCAGGACATGCTCCCGGCGAAGCAAACCCAGCCAAAACCAGAACCGAGGCGAACCGGACCACATGTCAGGAAATGTCAACAATGCGCATGAAAATTCCAAGGATCCACCCCCTGCGCAAGGTCCTCCCCTTTGGCCCGTGACTTCCCCGTACACACAAAGAAATCGACTAGTAAATCTGAAATTTTTACAAGAAATATTTTCTTAATTCAAACAATGTTTTCACTAATATTATAATTATAATTGAATGCTTCCAAATTGATAATAAATTATCATAGAGCACGACTTGCGACTTTGGACGATTAATAGAGTTTAAAAACGAAATTTATTCAGAACTTTATTATTTTTACAGAAAGCCTGCAAACTTTTAATCGAATAACTGGCTCTCAGCATCATTTAGTATAATATTTTTGCATATAAAAACTTTTATATTTTACAATAAATATTTCCCAAGTTCAGACGATGTTTCCAGAATGCTTCCAAATCGATTATAATTTTTCGGAGTGCACGACCTGCGAGTCCTTTGGCCGTGGCAAGTGCGAGCGACAATTTCCTCCCAGGGGAAGCAATTTGCCACACACACAGCTCTCCGTGCCACACCATACCTCAGCCAAGGGCTCAGGGACCAAAGGGATGGATGGGCTCGGTTGGAAGGACTGGTGGAAATTCCTTGGAGCTGAGGCTGAGTGCCGCATTTCCGCGCTGCAAGACGCTGGCCAGCCACCGCAGCCAGTAGCAAGTAATGTGTGCGGTTAAATGTCCATAAATCAAATCCTAACACTCCACGTCCGCCGCTCAAGATGACCAACGGAACCCGCTCCGGCGGACTGTAACCGAAACTGAGCCTGGATCCGGATGCGGATTGGGGATGGGGATGGGATCCAGAAGGAGAACGGGGCTGGACCTGTCCGAGTTAATGCGGTTGACACTTTTCTGGGTTCTAATAGATGGGCGATGCAATGGAAATTCCTCGACTTGACCTCAAGTCGCCCGCAAAGGGACATTAAATGCAAAAGTGAAACCGAAGACAACTGGGACACCGGCTAAATGCTAAAAATTACCCCTCCCTTTTCCCTCCTCCCTTTTGTTTTTTCTTTCCAGCAGCCAAGTGCCCTCTTAGGATTGGGGTGGGTTAAAGGATATTTAAAGGATTGATGAGGAAAAACTGTAACTAAAAAAGTTTTGTGAAAGTGTCTCACAGGTAACTTTCTAACTTTTTCCAGGTTTCAAATATTAAAAAGTGTATAAAATTTAAGAGGAAATGTATTGTTTGTTTTAAATTTTTTATTTATCATATGTAGATCTTATAATATTTCATTATATTTATGAAAAAAAATCTTAGCCTAAGTTGATAACTGAAGTAATTGGCTTTAGTCACTGAGTTGGATTAGAATTTTGCGTCCAAGTGCCAGAGACGATTGCTTAACTCTAAAAGAAATTAAACCTAAATAAAAGGATAGACTCAAAATTAATTGGGATAATTGAAGCTGGTGACGCAGGGGTTTATGTGGGTAATGCTCAGCTTTCTGGACTTGGCAGCAGGCTCGCCCCACGAGAGATTCATGGAAGGAGCCGAGTGCACGCTGGTGGGGATCTGATTGTGGGAGGCCGGATGCCAGGACTGAGAGGCCAGGAGCGGTGCCGACTTGGACTTGGACCAGGCCTGGGCAGCCGCCTCCAGATCCTGCTTGATGCTCTGAAGAACCAAATCCACATTGTAGGAGTAGTGCCCCGACGAGGAGCTTGAACCCGAGTTGGCCGAGGCTCCTGGAGTGGCAATGCTGGTGGCTGGAGCAGCCGTCGTTTGAGCCAGGTGCTCCAAGATCTCGCTGAGATCGGAGCTGGAGCACATGCTGTTGTTGATCGTACTGTTGGCAGTGACTTCGGTCTTGACCTTCACTTGGCCAAAGTCCGGCTGGGCGGTCACCGGAGCTACCGCCACCACAGGACGCTTCTCTGCTGCCGCGGAGGCCTCCCTGGGATCCTGGGAGTAGGACATCAGGCGCTGCACAATGCCGCGATGGGCACTCTGCTCCGCCTGGGGCTGAGCCAACTTGGCACTGGCCTTGGACTCGCGGTGTCCCTGGATGTCCTTCTTGAACTTCATGCGGCGGTTCTGGAACCAGATCTTCACCTGGCGCTCGCACAAGGACAGCCGCTGGGCGATCTCAATCCTGCGCGTCCTGTACAGATACATGTTGCTCTTGAACTCGTTCTCCAGCTCCACCAGCTGGACGCTGGTGAAGGCAGTTCGGGATCGCTTCAGCTTCACCCTCTGTGAGTCCTGGCTGGGCTGGGATGGCAGGTTCTCGTCCGAGGACACCTGCTGCTGGTGGAGCTGCTGCGGGGAGCAGTGGTCGTTGAGGGTGGTGGGGTTGGAGTTCATCTGGTTGTAGTTGGGAGGCAGGCCGAGAGGGTTCACAGCGTGATGATGGCCGTAGAGCAACTAAAAATAGTGAAGGACCTAATTAGTTTGAATTTTAATTTGGATTAATTTCGCAATACTCACATCACTGTATTTCACCTCCGAAGGACCAGCTGTGTAGGGGCCCACCTTGGCCTGGTGCACTGGATAGTAATGCATGACGGATGACATATTCTGCTGATACTGCCGACTGCGCTGTCAAAAGTGGAATGATCTGCCGTCCTAAGCAAACACCAGCCTTATATACGGCTCCCTTTAGGTAGGAGGACATAAGCAGGTCAATTCCGCCGACGCAGCGTTGCGAAAAAATTTGCCTAAGCCCGCGAGTCGTAAATCCCTTCGTCGCTGGGCCGACGACTGGCACCTCGGAGACTAGCCAAGTCCGACGACTCCCGGCCATGGGCAATGGGCAATCTAGAGGCTTGTTTTGATCGAAATCCTGGCAGGATTTGGCGTTGCGTGAGACACAGTTCCAGGGGTCCCTCGGAGAGCCGGAGTCTCGCCAGGTAGACGGGCTGATGATGATCGGCTATCCGAGATTCGAGATCCGAAATCCGAGATGCGAGGTGATTGTTGTCCAACTTGTAGCACCTGTTGAAAGAGCCTCCGGTGGCGGCGCTGAAAGTGAAATCGAGGCTGTTGTCGCGGCTTTTGGTCGCTCGCCGTCCGCAATTATCCTCATAATGCAATGAAAGCGACGCTGCGAGAAAGGATGCTCCTCGGGGTTTTATGCTCGATTTAGACAGTTTATGGCTTCGTTTGTTGCCAGGAGAATATGCCCGAGAAACTGAAGTCTCCGTCGCGGCGAATGCGAATCCGTCGCGGTCCTCCCGTCCCTCAGGCTTCCCATCCTCAGACCTCGGACTCGGCAATGGTTCGCAAATTTTATTACTGGCGCTATCGGATTTGCTCCTTCTGGGAATTCGCTAAAAATACGCTGGAACAAAGGAGAAGTCATGGCAGGATAGACGTGTGGAAATGTGCCAGCGCCTGAAGTACAGTTGAGGGGTTTTCAACTTCAAATAAACGCAGATGTGCTAAATTTATAAATATCCTTCTTGAATCTAATTAACAAAAGAAATTACAAATGCAACGTTTGAGAACAATTAAATTGATGTTTCTTTTATAATCTGAACTAAGCTTGATATCGTAATTAATACTACTTAATACTCGAAATTAATAATAAAATGCATTTAGTAATAAGTGTTTTGGGATGCTAATAAAATGATAAATGTTAATATTTTGGAAAAATAAATTTGTTTTTTTTTTGTTATCAACATCAGAAACCTGATTTTAATTGCGCATTTTGAAATGTGTATAAATTATTTATGAAGACAAACTCTATTGTTGATACCTTGCAACTTTTGGGGGAACGGTTTTAATTTAGTTTATAAATTTAAATTTGATATGTCATTATATTAATAAGTAATTATTTACAAAACTAAGAACTAATAAATATACAATTATATTTGTTTATTCAACTTAAGTTGATCAGAAAAAAGTAAACATAAGCAAACATGGTCAGAAAAGTAAGAATGAGTTACTGACTTGGTTTTTCCTGCATATCCATAATCCACCTCTTAAAACGCGCCCATTTGAGCAAGATCAATAAAAATTACAAAACTGGGAGAAACCCGATCAACATTCGTTCATGCTGGTCGAGTTTTGGATTTCTGGATTTTCCAAAATTTATATCAAAGAAAATAGAGGCAACAAGTTGCCTGAAGGCGCCTGTACAGTGCCTACCTAAATGGGGCGACCGGGTGAGGATCGGGAAGGTCGCCGCTCAGGTAGCTATATAAACACAGGCAGCTGGTGCTAAAGTTTTATGATCCGCGGGTGTTCGCGGAAAAATCGCGAATCACATTTTATGGCAGGCATGTGTGAGTATGTGCCATAAAGTGCATTTTTAAATTCATAAGATTTTCGGGAAAACCAGATACTGTTTTCGTTCATCCTGGAAAGAGACGGAGATAGGTTCTACGTGCCCTTCGAAATTTCTAAATTTATGTACTTAGTCACAGCTTACTCTAGTAGAGTAGTTCTTATATTTTCTCATAACGATATAGATAAAACTTAAAGAGACAACATCAAAGGTGCACCGTTCTAAAAATAATATGAGGCTTAACAGATTTCATTGCAATTGTAGTGATAAAATAAAATAAATGGATAGGTAAATTATTCCGTAGGCAGCAAATAAATCAGTGTGACTAGAACAAGTGGTCTGCATTTGTTGATGAAACAATTTGCTAACGATTCTTGGTGAAAGAATGTGCAAATGTTCGATTATGTCAGACACTTTGGCATAGCATAGAAATTGAAAATATCATATCGAATATTATTGTTTAAATGTTCAATCTTTAAGGGGTAATCGTGGATCTTGATTACCCCCAAGAGAAACATTTTTCATTTCGATTAGTACAGTTTTTAGCTATGTCAAATTGCTCCAGAAAATATTTATTTGCTGGCGGGGAATTGAGGTGTGGGTGTGAACTTTCCCTGGAATAGGCTCAAGCCCAAAAGCCTCGAATGGGTCTGGTTGGATGTTCCTGGGCTTTAGTGGAACAGCAAACCAGCGCAATCGAAGCAACGAGCGTATTGCGGGGGAAGTTTGGACTAAAAATATAGTATCACTACAAGAGACACTGAACTCCATGTCGCCACTGACTAGGCTAGTACATTAACCTGACGCCAAGAACAATTTACACGGATCTTAAGACTAGGCCTAACTTACTACGCGTAGATATCTACAATCACTTGGTATTTGTACAATCAGGAACAACAGTGGTTAACCTAAAGCTACTTAAACTCTCTGGGACGCCGCTTGTCCAGGCTAATTGAAGCAGTAGGCGAACTGCGAGTTGCCTGCGGCGTTACGATGCGGATTATACGCTTGCATTATCGTATCCATCGTGCATTGATATTGGTTCGATTCGGACATGGCCACGCCCAATCCCATTCCGAGGGGCGGCTGAGATCCCTGTGGGGACGAATGTTTGCCAAACTTGGCAAAGGCTGTGCCGCGATTTCCGGATCCTGCCAAAGCTCTTAGACCGGTGCTCATGTCGTCGCTGCTGCCATCGTCGCAGCTCTTGTCCAGACCCTTCAAAGGCTCCAAGATCTATTAAAAGAAACGATATGACAGAATAAATGAGTACACATTTTTGGTTTGGTAAATTGTAGCAAAAGGGTTATATGCAAGGCTCAAGCCAACTGTATACATTTTTACTGTTGTAAATTAAATTTGTTTAATTATTATTTTTTTTTATGAAAGTTTGACGTGTTCGTTCTATGAAATGATTAAGTTTCAATTATACTTTTTCGTTTCTGTTTTGTATTATTTTCGGGTTCTTTATTAAATTGTTATCTGCTCTGCACACGAATTAAAAGTTAAGTAAAATTCAATAAGCTTCGGCCATTAAATAATAATTCCTGCCTTGCCATAAACTATAAATAAATCAATTTTCTACAATCCAATTTGTAAAAATAAATAAAACGTAATATATAAGTACACTGGCGGAAGAAATAATAAAGACGATCTGGTAGGGGATTTTTTCCTAAAATTTAATTTTGGTTATAATTTGTTTTAAGAGTATTGAAGTTGCTTTAATAACAAGAAACCAAATGATTTAACGTTTTTGATTTTTTGATTTAACATTTTAAGTATACAAAAAATTATATGTAATAGCTCAGTTAGGGCCTTGTAGACCGATCTTTATGAAACTATGAAACAAAAAAATTGGGAACTTGTTGGTCAGTCAAATTGGTAAATTTTTAGATAAACACCAAAATATTCGAATAATTTGCGAACGTTTCTATTACTTCCCCAAGAGTCTAATGGGCAAAAAACAAAATTAATTTTTTTTGTACTTAAAAATGTTTTAAAAATTCCTTTTTGGTTGTTATGAAAGCTACTTTAACACGCATAAAACAAATGTATAAACAAAATTGAATTAGCTTTCATTAGATAGTTTATAGTTAGTTTATATAAATAGATTTGAAATTGAGTCCTAGCAGAATCAGGATAAAATGAAATGAAAAATCTGTGTCAAAAGGCAAGGTGGAGAGGTGGACTCTTGGCTGACCTGTAGCGTCGTCTTCTTCCTCGTTCCGTCGTCCATTTCGTCGGCCTCCGTCTCGCCAACGGCGGTGGCGCAGGGTCCGCCAATGCCGATGCCGCACAGACTGGGACTCTCGTCATTCTTGGGTGTTAATGGCTCGTAGACCTCGGAGCCCGGCGAGGCAGCGCCGCGTGCCGAAGCCGATGCGGAGGCAGTGGCGCCAGACATGGCCGATCGCATGTAGTACGAGCTGTTGAAGTTGTAGTCCGCCTCCGGTTCGTCCTTGACCAGGACGCGGCAGGCGCTAGCTGGCTTTTGCTGGAAGTCAAAGTGATGGTACTGCTGCTGCTGCTGAGCCGTTTGCGGCTGTTGCATCTGGAGCGGCACGTGGTTGCTCTGGGAGTGCAGCTGCTGCTGGTGGTGATGGACGTGTCCCTGCTGCTGCTGGAAGAACTGGCCACCAGTAGCTGATCCTGGTGCTCCTCCTCCGGATGGGTACTGCCCGTGCGGGTGGCGATTGGTCAGGCCGTGGTTGTGGCCTCCATTGTAGTTGTAGTAGGCGTTGAAGGACTCGCCGTAGTGCTCAGCCATGTGGGCTGTGGGAGTCGAGGGAGTGGGCGATGGGGTCAAGGCGTTGGGCGTGGCTCCTCCGCCCAAGCTCAGGGTCTGCAGACTGGGCGGATCGCCTTCGCTCTGCTTCATGCCCGGCGACAGGGGCATGCCCTCGTACGACTGATCTTTGTGCTGATCCGACTGGATTTTGTGACGACGCCGGCGATTCTTGAACCAGATCTTCACCTGGGCAGTGCCCAGAGCCAGCTTGGCCGACAGATCCGCCAATCGGGGGGCCGTGAGGTAGCGCCCCTGCAGAAAGTGCTGCTCCAACTCGGCGATCTGGGAGCTGGTGAAGGTGGTGCGGGTGCGACGGGGTCGCCGCATCACCAGGGAGTCGGGCAGCTCCTCTGGGGGATACATTTCTGATAAGACGGTGGTGGACAATGCTCGCTTCACACTCACCTGGCTTGGGCATCTGGTTCGGCAGATACGGACGTATGTAGTTGTAGTTTATCGCACCCGTTCGCTCATCGAAAAGCTTCAAAGAATCAATGGGTACACTATCTTTATATAAAAACGTGAAAGGATGGCTCGCTCCGAAAGCCGAAGCCTTAAGATCAGATATTTTAATCAACTTTTAGTTATGAGGCCCAAACATCTTTAAGTCATTTTCAGTTTTTGACAAAAATTATGTGGGGAAAACAGTAAAATGGCCTTTATGTACTAATTTATTGTTATATAGTCAAAAACATACAAGTTTTTTTCACTTGTATTCCAAAATATTTCCTATTACAAAAGATACACATCAATATGAGTGATCTTTTTAAGATCATTCTCCGAAATTGAGTACAAATTTGAGAAATAGAGATTAATATTGTATTTAAATTATTTACTAGAACGGTTGATAATAACAAGAATATTTAAGTAATTAATGCACCAAAATCGAAAAATAAAATTTCAATATAATACAAAAAAAAATACAATAATAATATTTATTAGATCGCCTAGAAAAGATAAGGAGTTCTTCAGCAATGGCATAAATATATATATATATTTATGAGACGAAACAAATTCTTAAAGTGATCAGTGATCATAATTTGTTTTTAGTAGTTCACTTTACGGAGACCACACTGTATTCAAACTTTATTAGCGAGCACTTCTCTTTTCCTAGAGGATAGCCATTCCACTCACCAGATCGAAGGGATTCCGGAATTGTGGCGGCAACTGGAGCTGCGGATGCTGATGATGTGGGTGCGAATGTGGATGCGGATGCGAGTGCGGATGTGTGTGCGTGTGGGGCAGCGGATGGTGATAAAAGTTTTGATCTGGCGGCGGTTGCGCCATTTTCCCCAAACACTCCGCCGCGCTATTTTCAGGGATTTTCTCGCGCCGCGCGGAAAATTCGCAAGTAAAATGTGGGAAATATCGTATATTATATGTAACCGGTTACGTTCGAGACGTTCGCGAACTTATTTCGCCAACATTTTGCGTTTTACTTGCTCCACTTGCTTCGCATTTGCAAACTACCGTTATTTAGTGATGGTGCGAAGGGAGGGAGAGAAACCTCGATCCGTGTGGCAACGCCGAAAAGTGTGAGTGCACAGAGTTTTCAGCAGAGGGCGCCAACACTACACAGAAAAGCGCCCCTTCTGGAATTCGGTGAACAGCTATTGCTCACTTACAAAAGCAGAATACCATAGACCTATGGCGGCTTATTTAAAATTAGTATTGCAGCAGTTCAGTTAATTAGTATTTGTAATCCAATAAAATTCTAAAGCATTTTAAAAATTCTGTCAAATAAATATTTTTTTTTATAAAAAATATATTCATAAAAATATATAAATACAAAATTTAAAAGTTTCGCTTATGCTTAAAACAATAAAATCACAGTGGCTGTAATTCAAAGTTAGCTCCAAGCATATGCCAATGAGATTCCTGCTGACCAAGTACTTGTTGATTCGCTTTATCACCTGGGAAGCAATGAGCGCGCAGGTACAGTAGCGCTCCGGCATTCCGGCGTCCTCACAAGTCCTCGGCTCGTCGTTGGGAAAGAATACAGACTGCTACATGGGGCAGTCGGGAGGTATTGTTAGTTTCTGGCCATCTGAAGTGAAATCAGGCGGTTTCAAAATCGGCTGGACTAACTTTGTCCTGGTTGTAGGCTGCGGCTATCAGCGGCTGTTAAAGCCACAAGTTAAACAACCTACTTTGACTGTCAATATATATTTTTATTCAGGCCCTCGACTGTACCGTTTCTACATGTAGATTTCCATCAGATTTTTGTCTGCATTCGCTTATATAAAATGACAATAATTTAGATTTGAATATTTGTATTTTTTAAAATGCTGAATATATATTACGGTTTAAGATTATGTTAAATTTTGTAAATAACAATAATTAATAACCCAAGATTTTCCATACGGCTTATTTGACTTTAACATTTTTAGAATAAATTCAACAGTCAGTTGATCTTTAAGCGGGTGTCAGAAGCCTTAAGTGAAATATTTTTAATGACATTTAGCGAATAATTGTCGTGTTTGCTTTTGGGATCTGGCATGAGCTTGTTGCCAAACTGGCAACAAAAGTCAATTCACAGACACTCCAGTCGACGGCGGAGTCGGAGTGCAGCCAAAAGGCAAACAAAATACGCGCACATAGTCAAAGCCAAAGGATACACACTGAAGTACAGTGGTTGCTTAGAAATTCAATTCGAAGATATCAAAATGAAAGCCTTAACTATGATAGATTTACAAACAAGATGTAAAATAAATAAACATAATTAAAATATCATATTATTTTCATAAGCTATTAGAGTTGCATGTTATATTTGTACGGATTTGCTGGGAGCACGGAAGCAAAAGTCTTCTAAATTTACCGAATAGTAATGAAACTACCGTAAGACCATATTAGAAAATATTCAAGAAAGCTCTATGATTACTCTTTTAAACGCCAGAAAAGGACGTGCGAGGACCCACTGTGCGGAATTGGGCCACAAATTCACACGCAGTGTGTGACAAAGGACAAGGACTGTTCCCTCTCCCTTCCCCGCTCGGCAGCCCGGCTGCTGAATGCCCTCCGTGTGTGCCGCTGCCGAAGCGAAACACCCAAAGAGCCACTGACAGAAACAGGATTCGGGTAATAAATTACAAAATTTGACATTTTCTGTTTTGGATCCGCTTGCGCCTGAATGCGAGCGGCAGCCCTCTCTTTCGCACGCCATACAGCCGTCTCTTTCGTTCGGTTTCGCTGTGTGTCCAGTTTGGTCGAGCCAAGTCGACCGTTGCATGCAGCAGCCAGGACCTGCCAGGACCTGGACCTGGACCTGGATCCAAAAAGGCATCGACGCAATGGTCATAATGACGCTGCCGGAATGCAACTGAAACTGAAGCCAAGGATAACCCACAGCCGGGAGGGGAAAAGAGACGGAATAGAAGCGCCCTATGCGGTCCACAGATAGTTAACTGGAAATTTATTATTTTACACAATTTACAATTATCTGATTCGAATGTGCACTCGGAGGCAGCGAGTCCTGGCGATGGGGAGTACGAGTCCGAGTTCGGGCGACAGATGCAGCTGCCCTCCCATGGGAACGGCCTCATTTCAGCAGAAGTCACCGAAACGATTTAAGATGTGATTTAATTTTCCAGAAACTGTGGCTATAGTTTTCGTCGCTCTTAAGGGGAATTTCTTCGCCAGACAGACAGCGTCGTCATCAATCATTTCACATAGTTAAGCCGGGTTAACCTCGACGGGTTTTAGGGGAAACTTGGCCAGCGGCTGATCAGAGGTCGGGCCGGGAAATGTGGAAATTAAATGCGATTGTGCAGGCAGCTTCTGCGACAAGCGAGGCTATCCAATTAAAGCAGTGTTTAAACAAAAGGTGAAGGGTTTAAGTAAAAGTATTTTAGGTTTGCACCATCATAGCTTTATGCTATTGGATAAAGGATATTATTATTTAAGACCCTTATTCGCAAAATAAGTAACATTCCTAATAATAAATATAAACAAAATACATAAATTTTATAAAAAATAATTTTAAGTTCCAAGAAAAAATGTTAGAAATGGAGGTAACATATCTAAATTCGCAAATGTTCTGGATGGAAAATACATGATGTAATATAAAAGCTATTATGAATCAAGTAAAGTAAGATTTAATTTAACAGTCACGGTTTCTTATAAACCTTTGAACATTATATTTAGCACTTCTCTTTTAAAACTATTTAAAATAATCACTATCACAAAGTTGAAGATACTAGTCTTTCGTTAATTTTACACACTTCTACCCACAGCATCCTTAAATTCTCTTTAAATTTACCGCAGAATTTCCCAGCATGGCTGAGTGGTAAATACCACCCAACGCCTCGCGTTCCACCCCCTTTTGCTTTTTACTTCTCGCGCATGCGGCCCTGCTCCGACATAGAAAGAGACAGAAGACGCCGGGATCGCTGGCATTTCCAGAGCGGGCAGGATATTCCAGAGACCGCTCGCCATGGCTGTTGCTTTTGTTCGCCGGCAGCGGAAAGTAGCGCGCCATGCCATAAATCACAAATGGCTCGCATTCCACCTTTACCACCCCGCCGCCCTTTCCCTTCTCCTCCTTCCACGAATCCCTAAATGGCGGCACAAATTTGAATTTGAATTAGAATTTCGCACGCCGCCTTTCAGTTCGCCCGCGGCCGCTTTCGCTGGCGCTTTGCTTTGCAACGGACCGCTTATCTTGGGGAGGGGGGGCTGAAAGGAAGGGGGCACTGCAGCAACGACCAGCAAAACAAATCAATTAAAGGCGAGGAGGAGAGTGCATTGATAACTCAGCCCGAAGTCAAACGCACGCACAAGTAAACAATTTAAATACGAGCTGAAATGCAAACACAGATACAAAGCACCCATACAGATGCAGGAGCAAACACAGATACAGATACAGATAAAGTCAAGGCGACAAAGTAAATAACCGAGGGGCGATAAGATCCAAAACGTCGATGACTTCTTCTTCGGCAAATGCATTGAGAGAAAATAGCTGTAAAGTATTTCGGAATAAATAAAACAAGTAAATAAAATTATTTGTAAAGAAATAATTAATCAACTTCAACTATATTCTTTAATACTATATTCTTTAATTAATTTAATTTAATTTAATTTGATTTTCATTTAGTTATGATTAACTGTTAATATACACAGATGTGAACTTTCGACGCCATTTTTAGTTGAGTATTAACATGAGGAAATATTTATTCGAGTGTACCCATTAAGACGCAACCCAGTCTAGACAAGGCAATCGATCATAACGATGTCTATCTGCCTCATTCTCGCGGTGTACAATTTTCGGGACTCTTCTTGGGTTTGAGGAGATAACGAGCGCTCGACGTCGGCGCGTCAGGAACAATACGAAGAACCCAATTCAGAGGTAGAGATAAGCAGAACGTCAGCAGAGATACGGTCTTCTGAGCCGAGCTCAGTAGCCTCTGCCGATTCAGTCGAGCCCCGAACGCGAAGAGAAGCGCATTGAACCCACAAGAAGCGAGATAATCGAACGGAGGAAGAACAAAAATCAACAGCAACATCCTGTAATTAAACGAAAAATAAAGAAACTTATAACCAAATACCTAAGAGTGTAAAAAACTACTATACATAAATTTAAAAAGTGAATAATTTCAAAAAATACATCAAATTAATATTATTTAAAATACTATAAAAGACCCAAGCTCATCTAATCTTGCATGTGTAATCGAGCAATGTTAATATATACTTTTTAAATTAAGTTAACTTGTGAAACTTGTGGTCTTAAAACATTTTTTGGTATAACATCTATTTAATTTTTGCCCTTAATAGTGCACTTTAGCAAACAGTTAAAGCTTATTGGATTTAAATGAACATTTTAATTTGATTGATATTGCAAACTTCATTCATAATTAACATTAACTGTGATAATATTTACTCCAATTTTAAAATTGCAGATCAGCCATGGCGAGTCTACGGCTTTACATCGGCCTTTTCCTGGGCCTGGCGATCTCCTTGGAGTGGGCTCTTGTCCTCGGAGCCCCAGTGATCAGCCACATCAGCAAGGACGTGGTGGCCAGTGTGAACGACACCGTGGAGTTCAACTGCACCGTGGAGGAGGTGGGCCAGCTGTCGGTCAGTTGGGCCAAGCGACCCAGCGAATCGGACACCAACTCGGTGGTGCTCTCCATGCGCAACATCCTCAGCTTGCCCGACCAGCGCTACAATGTGACGGTGACCGAGGGCCCCAAGGCCGGCAGTGCCACCTACACCTTCCGCATCCAAAAGATCGAGGTCAGCGACATGGGTCCGTACGAGTGCCAGGTGCTCGTCTCGGCCACTGAGAAGGTGACCAAGAAGCTGAGCCTGCAGATCAAGACGCCGCCGGTGATCGCGGAGAACACGCTGAAGAGCACCGTGGTGACGGAGGGCCAGAATTTGGAGCTGACCTGTCATGCCAACGGATTCCCCAAGCCCACCATCTCCTGGACCCGCGAACATAACGCGGTTATGCCAGCCGGAGGTCATTCCCT